CTTGAACGTTCCCATAGAAACGTTCAAGGAATCCCAATTGTATCGGTTGCGAAATAATGAATTCCAGAATAAGAACGCAGTTTGACGTAATTCGTTTGGAAGAGCATCGTTTTGAATAAATTAACGCCATTGAGAGATTCTGTCATAGCGAACGAACGTCGTGTACGTTTCTACAAATTCAACAGGAACATCATTAGTGAGGGAATCTACCAAAAAGAAGGAGAAATGGAGAAAAGGAGATGCTGCTCGACAGAGGGGAGGTCAGGCAATGAACATTAACCTCATGAGCTTAACAAACTGAGCGACTATTCCACTAGAGAAAGCAGTACTATGCCCTTTCCCTCCAAAGCCCATTCAAGCATGCATGCTCTCACAGACAACCTTGCATTCCAATCTGCCTCTCTAGAGCCACAAAATTAAAAAATATTCATATAAAAATAGTATTATGATAGATACACAACTGCTGAGCTCACTCACTTCATCTTCATTCAAGAAGTTTGTTGCTCCGCTCTAATGAGCTGCCACTAGATGAGCGAAATAAACATCTTGAACAAACAATAAATAATTCAGGTATAAGTAAAGACTGTGAGCCGAGAACGTAAAATCATATAAGCCCAAATCCTATAGACGATGGAGTAGGAGGGAGCGAATTAATCGAATAAGGTTTGATCCCGATACTTGCAGTAGCCAAAAGGTTGACAGGCCCTGGCAAACCTCACTCCTTCGTGGTCAACAAATAAAAAAAATCAAAAACTGTACTCAGCAGCAGAACGGACTTAACTACATAGTACTTACTTGACTACAATTCTGGATTGATGTCAAATGCAAGGCGCATCTACGCACCGATGTTCTCGCAGACCACCGCGAGCATTTTTTACATCCCTCGAAGGCCATGAATACGAAACGTCCCATGAATAAATTTAAGAGCTAAAATCCATCATTTTGTCAATCCATCATCGCACTGCCCCTTCATTTATCCCATTATCACGAGGGCTCCATCTGTTGGCTAACCACTCCACTGCAAATGGACAAACATAAGAGGAATCCATGTTTTCGTATAAATAAATAAATACAAGAAGAAATCTTCACGATGATTTTTTAATAAAATTCAATAATTCTTATAACATTTTTTTCCAGCTCAATTATGATGTTAAGTTACACAACTAGTTCATCCTTGCTTTCTCAGATTGAAATCTTTTCAGGTTGTTTTTCTTCTTAACAGCTAGCATAACTGGATGACCATATGATTTCACTGAAAATTGAAAACCAAAGGGAATCGATTACGAAGAACTACGCCTATATGAGGCGCCTAACAAAACGATTAGAGCCAAAAATGTAAAAAGATCGCCCTCTATCAGGCCCAATCGAAGATGACTTCCGAACGGAGTAACTACAATAATTCCGTCTACAGGTAGGTAAATTTCGATGGATCTTTTTCATACTTTTCCTGCCCTGCAATTCACGTAAGCGCATTTCTCGCTGGATCATTTAAGAAGTGAATTCGCCCCCCGAATCCTCAACCAAAACGCTTTCCTACACTGTCTTTTCCTTCCGATTTATTATGTCTTTTCATCACGATTTAATATTCTTTTTATCGACAAACAGTCACTATTTTCTTCGTTTATTCACCATTACTCATCTTCATGACGAGCTTCAGGGATGAGCAATGAGGCGATTATGTGCAAACAACCGATGCACCGAAAATCCTAACTTCTAAATTTTTCCATCTAACTCTAAAAGCAAGCCAAACCTGCTCCTAGTAATAATATGTTTCCATTCAACCTGAAGTTACGAAGTAATAATGGTCCTCCATGGCAAAGCAGTCAAGAGAGCTATGTGCGTGAAAGATGAAAGCCTGTCCAAAGCAAGTTGAAAGCAGTTGGAAATAGGAGAAAAAAGGAAAATTGTTACCGAGTGAAGCAAACCAGCCCTTCATCACTGAAATAGAGGAAACAAAGGCCATCAAAAATGAATTGGAAAGGGTCGATAGTTCTGTTGATGCAACATTTAAGCTCTTATAAAAAATGAATGAAAGTTGCATAACGAGCACTCCACTCCAAATAGTATGAGTAAAAGTGACGTAACTCAATCGAAAAACAAAAATTTCCATGAGATACTGTATTCTGATAAAATGGCGAATAAAGGAAGAACAATCTGAACTATCTGACGCCATAAATTTGACCTAATTTGTCAACGTAAAGGCCATTCTAATGCGCCATGAAACTTTCGCTCGAAATAACGACCTTTCAAAAACATACTACGAGATATGACTTTCTGCAACAATCCCTTCGACTTCTAAAGGATTTCTGAGCAAAATGCGAAATAAAATAAAAATTTTAATTCTATACCAATATCGAACTGGAAAACCAAAAGAAAATCTCCAATCGCCTTATGAGAGTTGTTGACATGAATGTCAGTTTGCATACACTTCCTTATCAATCGTATATCCTCAACTGCTTCAGCCAAAGTATTTTGGCTGATCTATAGATGAAACATTTGGTGAACTGGGCAACTTCGACCCACAATTTTAGTTGGAGGAAGTATATTCATAGGTCCCTCTCCTCTCTAAAAATTCAAAAGACGGTACTTTTTGTAATACGGAAAGGTTCTTATTACCTTACATTAACATGATAGTAATTCTCGTAGAAAACAAACAATGAAGAGAAGAAATTGCAGTTTCCAAGGAATAGAAAGCACGCTTCACGACGAAGCAGCCGTGGATGTGAGCTTGAATTCATTTTTATATTGCCGAAGAAAGTTGCAATTGCTGAAGGGACGACTTGAGAATTAATCCCACATTTCCATTACTTTTGCGCTTTTGCAATAAACTATCGGGCCATAGAAAACTCCTGATTGTTAAATTAACTTTAACAGTGGTACTTGTAAGGGCTATGTAGTTCGTGTTGTAGAGGACATCTCGCGATCAAACACTCTTCTCTCTTCTTACGTCACGGGCTCTCGCAGTCGTTAGTCAAGAGTCACGATATTGGCAAGACTCAATTATGTGGTTCTCTTTAGTAAGGATTATGCCCGAATTCAGTCAGTCAGAGTCTTCGTCCATACATCAACACAGCCCCGGCAGGGGGCAAAAAAGCAATGACTGAGTATCGTGAAAAAAGCTATCAGACTAAGTAAGTCTGTTCATTCAACAAAAACAGGAAACCATTAAGTGCAGTCAGCACAACTGACTTGATTACGGAAAAGAATAGCAATCCAGAAAAGAAACTTTCGTAGAAGCCCTTTAATCGTTCAATATGTTACCCTTTGCTCCATGCGTAGGTGGTGAGTGGTAGGTTACGCACTATCACACATGCAATTTCCCGGGATCGAACCATGGATCGATACTTGCCCAGGTCACCAAATGTTCCATCAGTTGGGGTCGATATATTGTTACCAGGCCCGTCCGGGAGCAGTGATTTGTCCTCAGCTAGTCACTGCAAACCATTGTATAGGCCTTTACGCACTCAAAACCCCCACTACGATTCCAAATAGAAGTCGAATGAAGGGCGCATTCCAAAATCGTGATCGATTAACGCCACGGAACTCATCTTTTATACACTCTCAAAATTTCTCACGATAAGGCCGTAAAATCTAGATCGATACAGAAAGGTAATGGATTCGCACGAACGTAAATTCTCACCAAAGAAATGTTCTCTTAGCAAAACATACTTTCACGTTATCAGATCGCGTCGGAGGTTTTAAGAGTGGTTGCATAGCGTGGGAATGTCACGAACGTAACGTGAGTAAATGGCGCGTACAGCCATAGTGTGTGGGCGTACGTCAAGAGTATTAAACCCTTTCCCGATTTTCGGCCCATAAACCGCTCACCCTCATCTTGACAATGAGACTTGATTTGTCAATCGAGGCCATTTGTATGCGCTTCGATTCGTCCGAGAACCGGATTCAATTTAATCGAATCATTGTTGAGCTTGGAATAGTCAGGCTGTCAGAGCAATGAGAACATGAAGGGCATGAATTCAGAAGGACGAAAGCCAGAAAAGGGAGAAATAAGTGCAAGAATAACATGGCAAAGAAGTTGAGGAGATAGAAATTCACCAGGGAATCAGTGTTTGCCCTGCTCTCTCTCTCCCTTTGTCATCAAAAACTCTTTCACAGACAACTGACCGAATGATGTTGTACCGAATAAATCAATATAAACACGACAACACATTAACTTTCCAAATGGAACCAGTAATGTTTTTTATGTGTAAAGCAAATTCTGAGCTCTTATATACGTACAAGACGATTTCTTCCACAGACAAATTTGTCCACGTATCAGTGGATTAGAAATTCGATTTTTTTGAGTACGAGGAAGGTACTAGGGATGTCATATAAGATTCTTACTCACAAATAAATTCAAAAAACAAGCTATGTGCGCTTGTCGAACAAGAAAAGTCAGTCAAGGTACTAGGTACCTCCATTATTGCCTTGAGTATTCACATCCTATATACTGGGGTTGTTTTTTTGTTTTCGTGTTTGTGGTAGTGTTGTAATAGTAACAGCAACCACAGCATAAGTATGTACCAAAAATAAGCCAATATACTTGTTGATGAGTATCAAACGATGTAACGTCATTGTTAGCAAGAGCATCTGCGAATAATTTATGAGCTCAATGGACAAAATCGATATCCTGGGAATGGTCCCACAAACTCGAATTGGACGGAACCGTTCTTAAAGAAAATTTACGTGGAGCAAAAACTCCTAGCCAAGCGATACCAGCAGGGCACGTGATGAAGAAAAAAGTAGGCTTGCTGCTTTTCAAAAGGACGAGGATTCAAACAAAGGATTCAAAAATAAGGATGAAAGTCGATAATGACTCAAACAGAAAAGATTCTCGTGCGACCGTAACAATGATGCGTCAATCTTTTCACAGAAAATATTCAACGGCTGGAGCCAAATCAGAATCAGAAAGAAAATCTAACCTCATCTGGAGGATTCCCCGTCGCATGATAGCCGACAGCTCCAAAAATAACTCTTTCACAGCCGAACAAGCAGGTAAATCAATCAATTCGCCTTCGTAATACATCACGCTCAAAATGCTCAGCGGTCATTTGACCCAGTAATCTTTCACAATTGGGATTGAAAACGGAATATGCTGACATCTAAATGAGAAAATAACATTTTGAAAGATGTATGTCAAATATTTAGTTCTATTCTTATTCTCTCATACGTGTTTGAGAGCCTAGTGACGTAGTGGCGAACAAATCGCATTCGAGCGAACACGAAGGCAAGAGGAACTCATGAAGGATTACAACAAGACAGCAGTACAATGAAAAAAGAGCACAAACGTTTCAGCGCAGTGAACATCTTGCAAACCTATGAAAAACGATAGCGCAAGATATTGCAGGTTGTTAAGCTATACTTAATAGTAGAAATATCACAAACCTCTCCCTCATGTCGAGTTCCCAAACTTAGACATATCGCTAGGAGGATGGAGATGGTGAAGAAGACCAAACCGAACTGAACCCTAGAATGGCAGTGATAAACAATGGCTCACTTTCAAGGCAAACACATATTTCATATGCATGGTGACTTCACGAACGACTGCACGCCAAAACGAAAACAAGGGGTCAACGACGAGGAGGGATACCCGGTCAACAAAGCAGTCTTCTGCTTGAATTCACATTCTTAAAGCCTCTAGGAGTATCAAAAATAACGAAAACATGCAGAATACGGTGACGTGCCCTTTCCATTTAGTTCATTTACAAAAGCATTGACTGCAAAAAGTAGTTACTAAGTAGTTGTGTTTTTTCTGCTAACAACTCCAGACAAATTGCTCATCTCTTGAGTTCCATGCACTATTCCTACATGCTCATACTTTCCTTCTGTACTGCTGAAGGGTTAGTACATTCTGCAACTTACTGCATTGACGCGAACCACTCACAAATCCAGCCACTTGAAGCTAAACACCCCTAACCTCTCGCTATCGCTGATAAATCAGTAAAAAACAATCAGACAATGTGAAGTTCCCTACTTGGTAGCAGAAGAAGAAGAGATAATTTCTCTCACTGTTCCATTTCCAAAATTCTATGATTTCTTAGAAAGATTTTAAAAAACGCAAACGCTGTGGAAATTCTTCAACCGAACTCAGCCCAATCAGCTACGCGCAATGCCTACAGCCAGTAAATAGCGACCCAACTTAAAAAGAGCTTCTCACCAGACAAAAAGCACTCGTCGTTGACGGACGTCTAATGACGACCGCGGGTCCATTCGTGTAACCCAATTATGGTTCGTCAAGCCTCTGCTGCTAGGATATTTCGCAACAGCAACAGGCTCCACAAATCCAATAGGGTATGGGAAACAATGGGAATTTGTTCCGCTACATTATTTTACAATATAATATAAAAACAAAAGTATGGTATTACGTAGAGAATAAGCTGAGTCAGGCCCAAGTTATTTCCAATTGAAGCGCCATACTACGAAAAGAAGAAGTATTCTTTGTATGGATTTGCATTGATACCGAGTACTGACGTTGAATTACCTCAGTACAAATGAATTCCCAAACAAAAACTCACCATATGAAATAAATTTGTCCCAGTAGATAGAATAATATGGTGACGACAAGTGTGGCCCGAGGATTTGATTCGTAAAATCTTCGCCAAGTACAAAACGGTGGAGCATCAAGGATGTCAATATTCAGCCGGTGCCAAATCCCAGGCGAATGGCGGCCGTCGCCATTGTTCTCCTGACGAAATCGTAGATATGCTTGGGGGCGAGACTCCTAGCTTAATCGGGAATACAGCAGCATAGATATTGGAGAGTGTGTGCCAGAAAAGGAGGGAGTAGAACAGAGGGCATAAGAAGAATAACCGCCCTCTTGGCTCAGAGAACATTCAGAAACCGGCATTGACAAGAATAAGAAACGAAGAGAAGCATGAGCAATCAAAACGTTATAACACAACTGCTTAATTATTATTTCTACTGTTAATACTAATACTACAATTCTTATTCTTGTTATCATTACGATTACTATCATCATTATTATCACTGATAGAATAAGGAGACGGTATCAAGCCAAGAGGTCCCCGAATTTGATCCCAAATCAATACTCGCCCTGGCCAACAGTGTTTCCACTTCTTCTATGCCAGCCAACTAATATCAGGCTCGTTTGTGAGGATAGAAGCACTGACTTGTACAATGGCTGGTCAAAGCAATTGGTTGTATAGCCACAAAGGCAATCAAACTCCACTACGATTCCAAGTGGAAGTCGAATGCGGGGCACATTCCAAAAAGAAGTGATAAACGAGTGAAGGCCTTAAGGACTTCAAGACTGTTACTCATGGATCAAATACAAGAGATAGCTCTAAACCATAGAAGAAAACCGCTTTTACTATTACGATTGTTATTAACATTGATATTAATATAAAAACATTACTACTATCATTAATATTCCTGAAATAGCAAACAAATAAAAGTAGCTTGAAGTGAATGGAAACATAGTGGAGGGAATAATTTGCACATTACAACTACATTACAAAAGAAATGGCAGATCAAAAAAAAAAAAAAAAAAAAAAAAAAAGTAGAGTGCATGAAACAGTTACAACAATCGAAAGCAGAAGATACCTTTTCTGGCTCCACCGGCACATTATCGCCAGTAGCTTCTGCACACTTTTTCTGTGCTTCTCTCCGATATGCCATCAGCTTTTCCGTGGCTTTATTCATTCTCAAAAATGAAGAACTCATCATAATGATGCTACATGACCATAAATGGTACGAGAACATCAAAGTCAAACAATGGGGTCCAAAAAGACACCCGCTAAGCTTGAAAACCTCATACATAGAAAAGAAAAACGATTAGAAAAAAATTGTAAGGAAGTCGCCCCGAGTATTTGCACGTCAGGCGTGAATTGAAGCGTGCGGTCTGATATGCATGCAAAGCAACTTTTAGGCGTCCCGCAAGGAATGGTCTGATTGGGGACATTTTTAGTAACATTAAAAGTTTTTATTAGCCGCCTTTAAAGAATAAAGTGGTTCATCACCAAACTATTGGGCTCGTTCCTCCTGTTGAGTGTCGAATCACATGAGATTTATTGTGGCGTTCCGCACAAGAGGCCTGTGGAGGTTCTAATGGTCCACCTTTTTTTCAAGGAATTAGATGAGTCTAATTAGACGAGGACTATTAGTCTGGCATTTGTTTGCCCTTCTGGATCCATTGGGTATTTTATTTCAAGCTCCACTGAACGCTTGTGAAAGGCGAACAACGCCGCTTTGGTCTTCGACCGATACCGTAGTCCCCCGTTCACGCTTCTCCCTCAGATCTGATAACAAATAAACGATGCCGTAGTAAACAAAGAGTCGCCTATTACTTCGGGAAGATTTCGATTTGCGATAGTGAGAATGCACAAAAAAGCATCATCTCAACGGCATTAGTGGACAAACGTAGGTACTTCGAAAATGTTACTTTCTAATGAGAGTTACGGGTTAAATAGCCAGTTCCTCTGAAACTGAAACTTCGCTAGTTCTCCGGCAATATTTCCACTGTCGAATGGGGTTCCTGAGCGTTTCTGAGCCACATTCATCAAAATACAAAAAAGCACCCACTTGGGACAATTACGTCCCCCAGGGTATTTGACTTATTGCCAGCCACACCATCTCGGCAAGTGAAGGCAAATTTTCCTTCTAAACATTCGGTATATTCTTCGGATTCAGTGCTGATGGTTAAAGGACGAAACGAAAAAGAATTTTTGGGGACCGCACCCAATCTGGCTACGCAATAGTTTCAAACAAATGCCACTAGTAAAAACCTTATGTTGCCTAACAAAAGGATCTACTGTCCCAATGTGAAATTTTCTATTCTCTTCCCTCAGATCAGCCTCCACTTCCCTTTTCCCTTATCTCTGCCAACAGTCCTCTAGGCTTACTGGAAACTGGTAAAAGTTCTTCCAATTGAATGTACGTAATAACAATAAAATAGGCTGCACAAACTTTTCCTTTAATCGCTCTCGTTGAAAAAAAAAATGCTCGAGCGTCAAGCAGTAAGATCGAGCGTTCGAGCCTAGTTGAAATTTTCAGAATGCGCCATGCATCCGACTCCCGGCAAAAATTGAAGTACCGTTCGATTGCGATGCGATTTCCGATTGAAGTTAAGTGTGAGGACCGATATATGTATGTAGGAGCTGCCCTTGTTTAGTTGATCACACAACTTCTATGTCAACCAAAAGACCTCGGAAGAAGGTAGGTTTGATCGGCTTCCTCTATATTTGATCTCGGGATCGTGAGCGTGGGAGTCCCATCTTTGTTTTCGATTCTGACTGCGAAGGAAGGTACTAAGGTGGTTAAGACTAAGATAAACTTTTTTTGCGAATTTTCGGTGAATCGTATTCCAATTTTCCCTAAAAAGTTCCTAAGAACTCTTTTTCGACATGAATGAGTAGGGTGGCGATGCTTTTCCTCTAAGCAGCTGATCAAGCAACATTCGAAGGTGTACCCAGTGATTTTCTCTGATGACCAAAGTATTTAGGGTATACATGCATGCTATGAGTAGAAAACAGCCTGATAACAAAGTCTGGTAAGTTACAATATCTATTGCTAGCGCAGGTGATTGTCGAGTTGCGCACTGTAGCGCGGATGGTCCGTGGATCGACTTCTCGATTGATACCCACTCAAACCAAACAAACCTACCATCCCTACAGGATCGATTGATTGAAACCAGACTCATCTGGGTGGATAAAAGCACACCGTGGATATACTGGCCTATGATGGCTACTGAACTTCTACTCAATAACAGATGACTGATAACCCAACACAAGGAAAACGGTCGTTGGATATGGGAAGGGTCAACCGGCACATGTGCGGGCACCTCAGCCGCTCTCAGCACAATTATCACGACTGTAAAGAACAAAATTTTTAACGAGGTGATAAAATCTAACAAAATTATAACAATAATTCAGGTGTATACACATGAATACAAGCAAACATAAAAGCATGGGAGGGAAAACGAGCACAAATTGCTAGAAATTAGTTTTAAAAATCGGCAAATCATCAGGCATCTACTTTCAAGGTCGCCACCTGAGGAACGAACGTTCAAACTGCGAAAGGTAATCGAACAATCAAGAATCCTGGCTCATTTCTGATGCGAATGTTCTACCAAGATATGTCACACAGAGAGCTTCCCATGAAGGCTACCGCGTATGATTTCTACCAATGCATCAAATTCTTTCACTCTTGAAGTTTCCATACTAGCTTCCTAAACAGAGTGACATGAATTTTAATCAAAATAAAGTAAAAATTCAGAGTAGTGAAGTTTAATTCAAGCTAGTGAGTGAACAGGAGTTGAGTTTCTGAGAAAACGGTCATTTTTCCTATTTTCACAAATCATTCCTTCAGATGTAGTATTCCCCGAATTCGACAGTGAAGTATGTTATGCCCTTGGAGTTAACAATGGAACCCTGTCCTTTTTAAAGATGATATGTGGTGGGACGAGATAGTAGATGAGTGACAAGGTGACAGGAACTGATAGCAACTGTTATGGCCAATAATTGGCGTCCGAGTGCTAGAGTCCCTGACCAGTTACTTTTACCGCATCAACGGTGAAGCTTCGCTAAGTCAATGTGGGATGAATTGCAGGTGTCGGATAACAGCTGATAAAGGGTGATAATGAGCTGTTAGTCTCTAACTCCCTTGATATTTACGATATACCTTTGATTCTCTGGCGTTACATACGATAAGACTGAATGGTAGAGTCTTGAAGCCTTAAGTATTTAGGCGCTAATCAATAATATCTGTGGATGCTACTTCCAATCAGAATTGTAGTGGCGTAATGAATGCGGACGTGGCTTACACAATGACTTGCGGTGGCCAGCCGATCTACAAGTCGGTGCTTTTATCCTCTCAGACGAGTCTTGTACCATTTACCCGACCGGGAAGGGCTGGAAGGCTTGGTTGGCCTAGATGGAACTGTGAGCATGCGTGTGAGATAGTGCACCGCTTGCCTCTACACCATCTCCGCCCGAATGGTAGAGTAGATTCACAAAAGGTGATTGGTAAGAACACTGATAAAAACAGTCTAGAGAAATTTTCTGCGAGAAGAAGAAAATTTCCTTTGCGACGACGACGACGACGCCTCAAAGATCGGAAGTCAGTAAGGTACCGAGTCTCTTCTTCCCCTCAATATCAGCTGTGACAAAACTCATCCGACCTATGATCAATTGTAAATCAAAACCAGTGGTTCACACCCATGACCCATGAATGTAAAGAGAGCAATGGATAACAACTACTGATACCGATAAGTTGACCAAAAGTCAGACCTTTGATGGATTATTACTGCTAGAGCAGATCAACAGCCACAGTTCGACACTTCTAATAATAAGCTTAAGCATTTCCAGTTGCTGAATACCAGCTGCACTGTTCTTTTTACACCCCCTAGCTCCCTTCAATTTGGGTCCCGTGTCATAGTTGTAGTGCCTGTATAGTCCGTATACCCATCCGAGAATTCTGTGTTCAAAAATGTTTTGTTCGCTCTGGAAAAGGGAGGGACGGATTACCCGACTACTCCAGCATTGTCATAGGAAGACGGGATAGCCCCCATAAGCCTGGTGATCCGACTGGGAAGTACGGAACTACACCAAGTCAAAATGTCCCCCTCATTACCTCAAGGAGCTCGCTATTAGGACGAATTGGGTGTGATAACTTCTCCCCGAAAAACGCGCTCGCACCTCATCGCGTGGCGCGTGCTAGATAGGGATAGGGATGAGTTCCCAGTGAAAGGATACGGTACTCGCCGGAATCACTGCTGCTTCTTGTGGGAATTCGGGAAGAAAAACTGACACCCAGAGGGATTGCTTCACTAAATAACAATACCTAATACAAACTGCATCCTAATTACCTGTACACTGTGCCTCTGAATGAAGTTACCCAATTCTTCAGCTGCTATTGTAAACATCAAAGGGTTTCGATCCCGTGTTACCTGAAAATTTAAAAATTCTAGAAAGAAACAGTAACGAAGAGAAAAAAAAAACCTGAAAATTCTCCGTAACATACAGACCTTCTCATCCCGTATAGCAGCAGTGTACGATCCTAGTAGAGTAGTATACTGAGTATAGTATTGCTCTTCTATCATAGATGCTTGTTCCTTTGAAAGACGACGAATGTGCGACATGATTTCCTCCTTGAATGGAGAACGAGAAAGTTCATAACTTCAATTAATGCAGCTAGAATTTCAAACTTGAAAACAATTTTTCGGTCTCACGAAGAAGTATACGAGCTCAGCTACAAACGGTTTTTTTCAATATTTTTGATTATTTTGTTTTCTCCTGAAGCACACATGTTTTGAAAGGGGTAACAGAACAGAATCTTCGCGAAAGAAATGTTGTAAGGGAGAATCACTTGAGTAAATCAGCTCCATTTCGGAATCGGCGTGCTAAATCGGCTTCGATTCGAAATTATAGTGTTGGGGCTGGTGCCTCTAAAATGATTGCAGGGACAGCCCGTGTAGAAGCCAGTGCTTTCAACCTACTAAACGAGTATGATACCAATAAACCACTCTAAATCGATCCTTCCATCTTTCGGGCTCAGTTGAGGTTGCAACTAGATTCCTCTGCAGTACACATGTATTTATCAGCTAGCCACAGTAAATCATTGTGTAGGCCATATACCCATTAAAACGCAACTACCATTCCGAATGGAAGTCGAATGCATGGTGCATCCCATAACGGGATGGATTAACGCTACAAGACTTCGCCTTTTACATTGCGCGCCTATCGGATCCATTTGTTTGGGAATAATTGGAAAAATCGGGGCTGCTCCCAGACTGGTCAGCTACCAATAAGTTACTCTTTACACGTAGCTGTTACTTGATCTACTTTCTCTCTGGGACTATAAATGGAAATACTCTTACTCAAGAACAACTGATTAAAATGGCGGTTGTGCAGCAAATAGTACCAGTACCTGAGCTTTCTTACTGTTATATCAAGATCATGAATACTTGACTAACCGCTTCGTTCATTTTGATCGTCATTTGCCTCACTGTGTCTCTCTTAGGACTCCATAGCGCTGCACGATAGTCAACGCTAAAACACAGAACTCTGCTAGCTTTCATGAATGGGGAATTAGCCGTCCGGAAGACGGTCAATCAAACTCAACCAAATTACCTGTCTCCGACAGCCGAATTGAGATATGATCCGATAAGTAATGTTTTTGCAAAATTCACGTCACCCAGTGAATACTGCTCATAGTGCACTAATAAATCTTCATAGCTGAAAAAAATAACTGGTGATGTTCAGAGGTCATTTCAAATATCAACGAAAACATGTTCCAGGTTAAAAAGTGTTTTCTCCCTTTTCGTTAGGTTCAACCCATAGAAGACAGAGAAATGATCTCGTGGTTGTCATTCGGAGGCAAGTGTGGCAATAAAATCGAGAGTTTCACGAGGTTGGCGATTCGTTGTCCAAAATTCGGCGTCGGACGGGACTCGAACCCATACTTTTGCTTTTCCGATCACCATGTTCTTTATTCCTTACACTCAAGAGTTTTCCTCGAATAGCTGGATGTAGACAAAATGGGATGGATTCGTTGAGAACTTTTTTTCATATACTATTTTCGCTAGTTAGATCTTTAATGAAGACGTGCTGCCTCTGGTTCGTGATTCTTTCAAAAGAAAAACTGTGGAATCGATTTTTTCCCGTTGTTATCAGTGAGGATTGTTTACATTTATTTGCTTAGATTCACTATGACCCTTCAGGGTAATTTAATATCTATTGCTTTAGAAACCTTCGTTACCCCCAGATAAATCGCTCGTTTCCTTGAGCCTTCTGATTTTTCCATTCTGGGAAATGAATAACTTATTCAGCTAGCGTTTCGACCTTATTGCTGAGCTGCATTAAAAGTACATTCAAAAGCTAGTGAAACCCACAATGGCATAAACGCATCCAAGCCAGCTACTTGGCTGTCCATTCGGAGGCAGAGCCGACCTTCTATCGCTACCTGAAGAGGTACGTCTAATCATAGAAGATGGAGAATAAAATTGAGAAGAAGACCTTCTGTACATAACCATTCAGGATACGTGAATAGCATGACGCTATGACATCGTCTGCCAACACTTCTGGTCCTGAACTATTAACTCATTAGTGTCAACATTTTTATTTCCCGAGGTTTATTTTCCCTTCCAAATTACAATGCCTGGGAGTGGAAGACGGGCAGAAGGAACGGTTTTCTGCAATCGATTCGCCGCACGCGGCTATTGCGGATCATTCTTCGCTGTTATCACAGCACTAGCGTCCTTCATTCAGCTCACTCGATATGCAACCCATATTTTAGCATGATTATACTATTAGTTCCTTTGTTCCTTTACTTCCTACCTGCTGCTCAGTCTGTTATATTCCTTCACGCGCGGCTTCCCTCTTGCCGCGACGCGGCAATCTCGTGCCTACTGCACCACACCCCTTGGTAGTAGGTAGCGTGGTGGCGAATGTCACACCATTAGACACGTATGATCCGAAAACCAGATTCTGTTTTAATTCTCGCCCTGGTCAACCAAGGCTACCATCACAATTCGATACCATACCACGTACGTCCGGGTCGTCTGGGTCATTGAGAGAGTAAAAGCAATGGTTTGTTTATCGACTGACGACCACAGTTCAATGCATAAACCACGGAGGCATTAAACGCCACTACGATTCCACATGAAAGTCAATTGCGGGGACGCATCCCAAAAACGGGATTGTTCAACGCCAAAAGACATCAAAGTATAAAGTCTTGAGACGTTAATCAGTCCCGTCTGAAGGATGCGCCCACGCTTCTGACTTCTATGCCAAATCGCAGTGGCGTATTGAATGCGTATGGGGCCTGCAAAATGATCTGTGGTGGCCAGCCGATGTACAAGTCAGTGCTTTTATCCTCCCAAACAAGTCTTGCACTAATTAGCCTGACCCGGAGGAATGGAAGGCTTGGTTAGCGGATATCGATCAGGGATTTGAGCCCGTGATCATCATGTGTGAAGTGCGCCACTTGCCAATACACCGCTTCCGCCCTGCCAAAAGACATTCATTTTTTATTCTCTACTACAGGGCCAGAACATCGGTTCTTACCTATCAGCAGAACTTCTGCCAGACGAACATAAACGTCATTAGGTTCTGCAAATGCCAGGAAAGCAGTGAGCCTTTCATCATGCAGTAACAGAGTCCATAGTAAAGATAGACGAATAATATCCACGTCATCTGGACAGACCTCTCTGAAATTATAGTATTTGTGAGCGAATGAAAAAAAATACAATATTGGTCCTTTAGGGAACTCTACTCACCCCTCCCGCTTATGTACCGCATCCAGTACTCGACGCACGGGTACCAATGTCCACGACCCATCGACCAAAGGGTTTACTCCATGTGCAAATTGGAAAAATGTCTGCTCACCGGACCTTCTATAAAAGTGCTTTCGAAAAAAAGAGCAAAAATAATTTAAAAAAGTCTTAAGGCCTACACTTCCTCGAGGTAAAGTTCTTTGATGTCGTCTATTCGTGATCGTGCAAGCTCCAGTAGTGGGTCTAATTTGCTGAAATCGATAATTTTACAAGAAAAGCCCTAAAGGAGATGGTGTACGAGCAAAATGCTCAACACAACATCAGAAATGTAAATAAAGAGAACAACTAATCATCTTGATATCTCAGGAAAAGAGCTCTGACGTAAAGCTACATCTCCAACCACTTCGTATTCCCTTCAGAAACAAAGGGACCTGCTTGAAGAGAGGGAAAATACTGGGTTGTTCATTTGTCCCCCTCTACCTGAGCATGCCTAGTTGCCAGAAGTTCGTTATCACCCGTAGTATAGCCTGTGAGGCCCTTTAAGGCTATGATGGCCACATATAAGCTTAGCGTATTTGGCAACCAAAGCAGGGCCAGTCAAGAAAAAAATCACTTTGAAATAACAAAGTTCGGAAGAAGAAAACTATAGTGAAGACAGAGAGTATAGTAAAAACCGCAGACAAGATGAAAGAGACCTATCCAAGACAGGCTGGGTGCTCTTCAACTAAACAGTTCTTTCAAAAGTACTAACAGGAAAACGGATGGGAACGAGCATTTGCCAAACGGCATTGCGCGCATGAAGCATGCTGTTGCCTCTACAATGTCCGTCTCCCCAATTGCATCATCATTGAAAAAGCATCAATGCTTTTGTCCTGCCAGACGAGCCTGGTATTGCAAAACAACCGAACCCGAAGGGATGGATGGCTCTGTTGGCGAGGACAGGTATGGGAGCAAGTCTGATCCCTGAATCGTGCGCGTGATGGGGTGCTTCACTTGGCATTACATCTCCTCCGCTCTAAAATAGGATACTTATGTATAAAGTTTATAATTACAATCTAAAACAATTTGTAGACAAAGGAAAACGTAGAAGAAGTCAAATTATAGCAGAACAGCCGGAACTGTGGCCGAATCTCAACGATGAGCAGATCCGCCTTAATGGAAGAAGGAGGTGGTGGAAGAGACTCGCGCTGTGCCTCAGACGTTGGACCACACACCTGAACTGAGATTCTATTATACTGTACGCATTGGCGTCCACCATGAAGGGTGTAAGCCAGAACTCTGTGATGAAGTGCGAGGACGACCCAGAAAGTGAGTAAGACTGTCTTGACCAGAAACGACGAAAGATGAACTGATTAATCCTTCGTCTCGGAACTCCACTTAATCGATCGGAATTATCGACTTCGTGCAGATCAATGGAAACGAGGAGTGGGTTACAACTTCGACAGAATATTGAAATGAAGTTCGAAATTTCACTGTCCCCCAAGCTATCAATCAGGTTTTTTCTTGCAGTTGCAAATGGAAGAAGGCGATTGCCATTATATCACAAGACGGTGCACTGATGATGGAACGACCTCCCCTTTCAGTTGTTCTGCAGCCATTCGTATAGCCATAAGGTTTGAATGTTCAGCAACAACTGTATAGCAGACCCGTCGGTGTACAAAGTATCAGTTGCTCCTTCTAGGTCTTCCAGTCAGTATAGGAGCCGAATGAAACAATCGAACCTGATTCGGAAGGTTAAAAAATTGACTCTCACGGATGAAATTCAGACCGAAAACCAACTCCGCGTCGAATCGTAGACAAGAATTCCTGCATTCCCCTCGAACCCTTCAAAAACTGGGAAGTCACAATGTAACAGGGATATCAGCCGAAAAGAATTCCTTATTGAAGCGAGGAACAAACCTGGTGGTAGCTACCTTACAGCTATCGAACAACTTGACGGCATTTTTCTGTTGACGTGGCGCTACATTGCGTAAGCACTTCGTAGTGAAATCCAATTGAAAGGCATCCTGGAAAAACGAATGAATCCAACACATAAGTTCGAAAAAAAAAAGTACTCACAGTAGCAAGGCGATTGTACTTCTCTTGATCACTTCGGTTGGCAAACTCGTCCAGAACTTCAAGCTGATCAAGCATGTCCTGCACTACGGGCGGAGGTGGTGGTGCAGACTGTAGTTCCGAGGGTTTGGTTTCTTCCAGTTTGGTGGGTTTCTGCGAGTCCGAAGTGGCACGAGATGCTTTGAATCTCGATACTGTAATGACAATCGATGAAGGTGGAAAACTTAGAGAAAACTAGTTGTAGTTGGAAAGTTGAAATTAAAAAAAAACTAATAAAAAACAAAATTACCCTTCGCCTTTGAGCCTTCTGTTTTCGGAACTTTCTTGTAGCGGTCTTTCAGGAATGCGATGGTATTTTTATCTTGAAGAAGTTAATGAAAGTAGAGCTTGGGATAATTTTTTTCTGAAAAACGCACCTATTTTCTCGGCGATTTCCATTTTGAGTTCGTTGATCTTCTCCTCATCGAGACTAGCCAGATATCTTAATTATTGATAAATGATTTGGATAATACACAGACATATGTATGAAAAGGGATGCGCCTCGCGTTCGACTTCCATTCAGAATACCTACATTCGGGATCGTGAAATCCAAATGTATCTATCTATACAGTATACAGCTTTAAATAATAGAAAACACACGTACTACCCAAAGCAGATTTCCCACTCTTGCTCTCACAAACCAATTTGTTTCATGACTACCGCTTCCCTCAGACAATACTGTTGTGCTTCATTTTATAAAGTCCACTATGTTCAGTCACATAAGTGCAGCAGGGTCCGGGATCCGTCAACGAACGAAGGTAGGGATACCGTTACTGAGGCCAAGATTCCGAATATCAGGTGGACCGGACACGTCAAGCGATTTTGCGATTGCCGTTGGTCTAAGGCGGGTCACTGACTGGATCCTTCCGTCACGTCAAAAAAAACACCAGGACGGCCGCCAGCGGATGATCAGACTTCTCACGAAAGCTCTGAACGAATGGAACGCTCTCGGGGCGAATGGAAAGGTTACTGACGCTTGCTCGAAGAAATCGATGACCAACGGGACGACAGGTGATACAGGAGATGTAGAAAGGTGGACTAAACTATGCGCATAGGTACACAAATAAATAAGTAAGCAAATAAGTTGAAAAAAAATTAAAATGACTCATACAACCCGAAGGCTCACAAAAATTCTCACTTGTCATTCTCCAGTTCGTAATTGTCATCTTCGCTAGGCAATGGTTCATCCGGTTCAGATATTAGTTGATCTAAAAAATTATTTAATGAAAAACGATTTTCGGATTTCGAATAAACAAATTTATGGAACTAAGCACGATGACTACAACCAGCACTAACGAATTCCTTTGCACATTATCGGAATGCATATAAAAGTCAATAAGAGACAGTTTGGATCACAATTTTGGAACGTCGTCGGCGAAACTTTTTCTGATAAAACAATGATTCGGGGGCAGAAATAAGATGAAAACAGAAAAGGCTGTATTGAGAGATTGCGAGAGAGCGAGAGGAGCTTTGAGCATATTCCGAGAATATTTCTAGGAAATCTTGCTTATCTCGGAGCAGTGTAGAACTGTCCATAAGCAGACAAGCATTCTTGTGTCCCTGGTCTTCACGACAACGAATTTTGCTGATGGCCTTCCACTAACCAAGATTTTGTACTAGTAAATCTGTTTCACGCTTCCTTTTCCATGATCGTCAACTTGCACCGAAGGGTTAAACTAAGAATGAAAAAATCAAAATAAGAATAAGAAAATCAAAATAAGAATAAGAATGGAGCGAAATATAAAGGAAAAAAAGAACTGGAAGGAATGGAACCTACTCAACTTTTCCACAAAAATAGACAAAAGTAAGGTGACAAAAAGACTTAAAATTACGGAATAAGGAAGCTAACCAATTTTTCCATGCAGCCTATCGAATTCAGCAGCGAAAAAGCTCTTCCTTCCAGCCATGCGTTTTCCCACTGCATCTTTCCTACAATTCCATAAAAACGGTCACCGCAAAGAGTAAATACCTTTTATCGCAAACTTTCACGATACCTGTAATAGGCACCCAAATCTAGTACTTCTGGAAAACCATCATCTGCGGAATAGGGTAGCTTTTCAAATTGCTGACGAGCAAGTTCATCGCTGTGATCAGACTCCAGCCAATCTGAGTTTCGTTCCTGGAACAGAATGGGAGCAATAATTCATCGCTGAGTAGCTTCAGAAAATCAACATCAACATTTCAACCAGTCATACCTCGACGTCGAACAACACCCGATTAGACCATTCTTCTGTAATTTTTTCCAGGTCAATTACAAATCGGCCTGAAAAAAGGGAGATGTCAATGATTTTTAGGAAGTTATGATATGATCACACCTACGGCTGACCTCCCTCTTCAAATGCTCTAGGATTGGTCGACCTCGCTACCAATTTCCTTGGCATAGGCTTTGAAGCTACTGGACCCTTCTTCATTTTATGGATCTGCACAGATGCCTTAAAAATACTACTTGGTTTNTTCATGAAGGAATCATATTTCAGCGATTAAAACCACATTTCAGCTTCTCATTTCCTCACAATGGATTAACACAAATGAATAGAAAATTACATTCCTTTTATTACGCACCACCACTCTGTAGAAGTCCGGAAACCCGAATACAACATACCTTATCGGATCGAGACTTATTGGCTTCCCACTCAGCTTGCATAGCCAGGATGTCATCCTCAGTTTCATTGGCAGTAGGTCTCTTCACAAACATACTTCGGCTTTCCATCTAGATCTTTGTTTGAGCATTGACTGATTCCACGAAATGCAATGGCAATAGTGGCGTACCCTTCAACCTGGTTGCAACTGATGGGTTTAAAACCTACAAATTTCATCCACTTTATAAGTAGCCGTCAGCAAGGCCATCTACAGAATAAGCCTAATTTTGATGCCCTATCCCTTTAGCTATTGATTAATTAGTGAACCGTTAAGGATATTATTCCTTTCTAGCCCTTCCCTCGAGAACATTTCCAAGATGGGGACTTTTAATGGACTCTTAGTCCGTTCAGCTAATTATTCTCATGACTACCATTCCAGGGCTGGCACCAGAATCAAAAATTACTTGAAGGCTTCCTAAAAGTTACTCTTCCTATCACTACCACTACTGGAAATAAACGTGGGCGGTAGTGTAGTGGCAAGTGGCGCACTATATCACAGCCCGGTCAGGGGTTCGAATCCCGGATCGATACCCGTCTAGGCCAACTAAGCCTTCCATCCCTCCGGGGCCGGTGAATTGGTACCAGACTTGTCTAGGAGGATAAAAAAGCCCTGACTTGTACATCGGCTGGCCCCCTCAAGTCATTGTATAGGCCTCATTACGCCACTACAATTCTGAATGGAAGTCGAGTGCGGAGGCGCATCCCTCAGACGGGTTTGATTAACGTCAAAAATTTTATTTCCAGTTAAAGTTTACACTTTAACTGGAAATAAACATGTAATCGCTTATCTAAACAACAATCGTTCCCTGATTTCATACATGCTATTCATTTCGGATTCCCCTTCTCTAACTCTAAGGCGGTAGTGAACGACAATCTACATCTTGCTCAATATGATCACAGAAGCGCAAATTTTATTAGACGATAAACCGAACATACAAATTGAATTCTAAACTACGGCTTGTGAGGTCAATATTTTACATTCTGTTGAACAAAAACCATAACACAACTGATTACAATAGCGGTTTACAAAAACGAACACACTATACACAAAAACATCCATTAATAAACAGAGCGCAGAAATTGTAAACATAACATGGAATAACACATTTAATACTCAAATTGTGTGGTGAAGCCGCGTCCTTTTCGCTTTGTTCTGCGATTGCTTTGGAAACTAGTAGATGGGAAACGCTCGTACTGAAATAGATAATGTATGCGGCCTTCAATTGCAGAAAAGAGAAGAAGAGTTCAAACAACTTCAGAGCCATTACGACAGGATATTTCTAACTACCACTCCTTATCACTGGGCCATGCAGCAGTACTCGTTGCTTGATCATTTCACAAAGACAAGGTTTACTCACGTCATCGAGATCATCCTCGTACGTCACAAATTGACGGCCCGGCCTCTTATTCACAAAACGAACTCCACTCCTTGAAGAGGGTTGAACCTAAAAGGGGTTGTGAAGTAAATCAGCTGATTACAACAGCAAAAGCCAGCATTTTCTAGAACCTACCCTGGAACTCATCTCCTCATTCACGTATATCACATTGGCACGCTGATTCTGGCGTCCACCGCCATTTGCGAAAACTTGTTTACGAGTCACAAATCCACCGTTAGCCCCAACCGGTTGCTGCACGAAGATACGGCTTCGCTGACGAGGAGCCGCTAACTGGGCAACTGGCTGTTGTACAAATCGTCGCACTGGCAACATCTGTGCACGACCATTTTGTGCATTTTGGTAACCACGCTGGTCTTGTCTACGATAGACAGGCCTCACCGGGCGTGCACGGACGACTGCCACCGGTCGAACTGGGCGGGGTTCACGCTTCACAACGCGCACAGCTTGATATACCACAGGAGCCGGTCTGAAAACGTTTGTAATGAATGAGCCGCATGATGAAGCTGACGAAGTCTCAGCAAAGAAAAACACAAGGCAAACTGACTAACACCCCTGTGAAAACAACAGCGTGCGAGAAAAAGAGCGAAAAGAAACTTACTCTTCATCTACAATTTCGCGCTGAACAGCAGGTCGGATTCTTGGCCTTCTCACAACCTGAAAGGGATAAGAACAAAACCTAAGTTTTTTAATATTGAGACATCTACCAAATCTAGTTTGTATTACTCACTACACGAGGGACCTCCACTACCCTCTTACGGATACCACGTGACTTAATATTGACTCTAGCTAGAGCTCCATCAGCACGCGCCTGTAAATATAATTTTTTTATACTATTAATTAACTAACCTACAGCCGTCTTGGTAACCAGAAAAAGGAAACCAGTTCTTGCACATCGCGCTCGCCGACATGACATGGAACGAGCAACCAGAAGTGTCCGGCAGGATGGAGAAGTCGGAACACTCAGGAATCTCATCCGAAGACAAATTACTGTCAGTTTGCTGCGTTTTCGTAGAGCGAGCGTATAAGAAGAGGTAGATGCGGTGGCAAGCCGCATTACTCGCGAAATTCCAACGCGATGAATTGTAAAGACAACGGTAGCCATCAGAACTCGAACGGATGCCGAGAATTAGGACACCGTGCCGTCGAAAATGCCTTGTGCATTTAAAAACGTACTGCTCGGCGGTTCACGACGCCTGCTGCAGTTGCTGCTTTAGCTCGCATCCTCTGGAGCGTCTTCTGGAAAACAAAATAATATTTACAACATGCTCAGCGTTCATATAAATCAATTAAACTAACGTTGACGAGATTTTTCACGAAACGTCTAGTAGCAGCATTATTCACGGCTGATACACTTGCGCTATCGGAGCGGCCGCCTCGGCGCTGAGCAGGCTCCGAGCGAGCACCTCGTCTCTGAACAACGTTAGAGCGAGCACCTCGACGTTGCGCAAGACCACCTCTTCCGCGACTGCCCATAAATGTGCGGCCTTTGACCTGCAAAGGTAGGCGTTAAATTAGGACCATAAACGGGAAAATGTGGAAAACGCAACAAGTTCTAGGTAGACATTGGAATGAAACAGCGGAGAGGACGTCAAAACAAAGGAGCCGATCAAAAGATACACATCGAAGGGTTACGGTTTACTGCGTACAAAATTATGAATTTGCGTGAACCACAAACATGATACGAACCCAGAGCTGACAACGAATTATTAGCCTCTAATTCTGTCATTAGAGTTACTCCAACTCAGAACGCTAGCTGCTATCCATTTAAGGGAACATAACGAACCGGACAAACCGCTCTCTACCCCTCCCATCCTGGAAAGATGCACCCGGAAAGGCCAAGGTAAACCATGTTTCAATGATTTTACTGAAAATGAATTAGCTCGTTCACCTGTCTCGCACGATCATTGTTCCTCGAGCCTTGCCCACCTCGCTTTCTTTTGTTGAGCTTGATTATGTCATCGAGAGCCATATTGACTTTATCGTCAGCCATCTGAAACAACAAATGAAAAATTTTAAATAATGTTTCGCACCAAACATAGAATGAGAACCTTTGATTTAATCGTTTAAACACGTCGCCCTTGACGACCAAAATGAAACGACCAACGATTATTGGATGCACACGAATAATGAATAATTAGGGCGAGCATGCGCAAGTCATATCATCACAATGAAATAACAACACACAATAGCATATGGGGTGATTTAGATTGATAAGTACAGCGAATAAGAACAAAATGACAGTCTTAGAAATAGACTTCAGGAAATGGCACTAATAGTAACTTAAGAGACATCTGAGCGAAAAACGAAGAATGTTCATTACAGAGCTCAAACTGATTGGCTTACTTCGCGAAGTGGGAGTACCTATAAGCAACGACCAAAATGCTGTTGAAAGGTTTGGGATAGTGAGGTATCGCAGTGTAAGAGTTAAGAAGTACCCATGAAGCTAAAATACGGTTTCGAATCCCCTGTGGGACTGAGCGTTTCGCCCACAACTCACCATCTTTGCTAGAATAGCACATGAGCAGCAGCGAAAAACAGCACGCAGCAAGGACATCCCGCTAGAATCAAGGGGACCCGTTTAGCAAACATGGGCGTTGAGATTCAAGGGTTTTTAAGTGACCAGGATTCCCCACAGCAGAGAGCAGTACGCTAACAAATGCAGTCCTTGATCAGAACAAATATGTCTATCCAGATAAGTCATTATACTTACTATTACAAAAAGAATCATGCCACAATACTTCTGATTCATAGCTCATATTGTCATACGTATAGCAGAAGGCCGTTAAGGATGAATAGTATCGATCGATCGGAAGATAACATCGTGCTGGAGTGTGTCCCGTCAGATTCCATTGATGACCCACATTTAATTACTCGCCTTTCATTTCATGTTTCCTGTACCAACCTATGTGCTTGTTGTACAACAGACAAGACATAGTAATGATAAATTGTTCAGTCAAGTCACAAATCCAAATCGATCGCTATCGATCGATCGGAATGGTCTGGACGGTCTACGCTGCTGATGAGGAATCGTCCACGAAGTATTTCAACACTTCCTGCGAAGATGGGGAACGATCGTATTTTTCTGAAGCGTGACTCATAGGAAGCCGGGCATTCCATCCTCATTAGACGATAAGGAACAAGTAGTGAATGCAGGCTGGATTGATGTAATAGAGGCCTCCATTCAGAATCTTCCATATCCCACCACCCTTGAGAATGATATCACTTCAATCTTCAGTCAGGAATTCGTCACAGTCCTTAAAGTCTACATTGAACCAGACCCGACGAGCACATTTCTTGGATAAGGCAAACGAAACCTAAATTACGATGATCAGAGCTTATAATCTGATTAGTACTCTGTGAGTGAGACTTCGGAATTCTAGACCTACTAGCAGAGAACAGTAAGCCTAAAACTGGAACCATTTTTCTAACTTTGTTATTAGGGTTTATCTGCGAGGAGCTCTTTTTCCGAAATATCCCAATCATAACGCAGGGTGAAGTGATACTAGTACGGAATCCTTGCAAGTAATTTTAGGAAATAATATCGGCAATCAGATTTCTTCCTCAGTGGGTTCATATACTGGAGAATTTTGGTACTATCGGAGTAGGAACCAACGAAATATGGGACTCCAGTTTAATTCACAGCCAGAACCAATGATGGACATTTGGTTTGTGATGTAATCGGCTCTTAGTTGTAGGTACGTCGTTTGACCTTAACTTCGAGAGCCTGCTTTCATTTTGCTGTAATTTCACAAAAATGAAAATAAATGAACCCTACACCCCCCCCCTTTAACTGCACGAAACACATCGATCCAATAAATCAGAATATTAGGTCGTTAGCAGTTTCTCTACGAGAACCTTTCTGAATTCAAAAATTCTTTCTCCATCAATATATTTCATGAATAAATTTTTAAAAGAGCAATTCAATGAAGTCAATGAGGGCAAAGTTTGAGCAAGTAAAACGAGGAAAGGAGACCAATAGTACACAAAAGCATACGACGACAAGCAGCTGCTACCGACACGACGACCACATATACGAACGCCACCCGCAGGAATATCGATCGATGACAGCCGGGGGCGGGGCATCTCGTGACGGGGCCCATCAAGCAATGTGGAGGAGGGCGCTGTGTAAAGGAGACTAGAGAAATACGAAGAAAGCGAATAGACTGATGGGCATAGTAAAACCCGTTTAACGTAGGCCAAATGTAGAGAAGAAACAGAGGCGGTACTCAGTATTTTACAGCAAATACAGGTTTATTGCAGGTTGTTTACAGTTTTTGCGATTTTAAAAGAAACAGTTTTGTTGTGGAAGTTACCAGTTTCTACTCCACATTTTGGCCGGATGAGGTGCTCTAGCAAATGACGTTTTACTACCCATGCATAGTCCAAGGATAGGAACCGGATCAATACCCGCCTAACCCAACTAAGCCTTTCCTCCCTACAGGGTCGGTGATTTGGTACGAGACTAGTCTGGGGGGATAAAAGCACTGAATTGTACATCGGCTGACCACCGCAAGTCATTGTATAGGCCAAACACGCAATCAAAACGCCATTACGATTCTGAATTGACGATGGATGCGTGGACGCATCCCGGAGACGGGATTAACGTCGAGGACTTCACCCTTTGATCCATAATCTATCGTTTCACGTGGCAGAAAAATTCCTACAACGTTTATACAGGATAACTTACACTTTGAACAGTTCATCGGAATATGGGTGCTTTCTTTCGACTCAACAACCTAGTACCTCTTTTTTTTTACAACTCAAGCTTAGTAACTGTTATAGAGTACAATGCAACTGAGCCCATGAGAGCAAGAGGGTACTGAAAAGGGAACCATTGCTGAAAAGAGCGAGAAATCCGAGACCGGGAACGCTGTAATGGCAGACTTCCCTCTCTGCACGCCATGCAAAGAATTTCATCTTGAATAAACTCTGGTCGATTTCGAAGACTACCTAATCCGACTTACTTAAGTAATTACTCGGAGGGAAACGAAATTCCCCTTACTGGTAAGAAAGCAAGATGCGAGAAAGATCAAATCCACTGCCTCTGAGTTTGACTGTAAAAACCATAAACAGAGGCCCCTTACTCACCAAACTTGACTGCATGTTTTTTTTTTCGAAATAAGTCTTTGTTTGTTATGCAATTACTAAATGCGAGCCACCACTACATCACTGCACTAAACAGAAGACCGGGGTTAAATCGAATAATTAGTAGTCCGTTTCAGGGTTCTAACGAAGTCGTTGGTCGATAAACCTGCACAAAGAATTCCGTTATGCCCACGAACAATCCGAGGAATTCCCACGCGGATGAACAACTTCTTCCTGCAGCAGGACCCGCTATCGAAAAATTGGTTAACTAAATTCATATGAATTAGTAAAGCCGCTGTTCCAGAAAGTTGATATCCTTTTTCAATCTCTCTAATCCCTAATTTCATCTCTCCCATATGCTCATGTATCACAACAGTCCTTCTATGGTACAAATAATTACACTATCGTTACAGGATCAGAGCTAATCAGACACATTTCCGATCGTACGGGATTGAAGTAGCTGTAGTGAGTGAAAAAGGCTAAAATTATTTACCCTAACTTGCCCAATCCACGATAAGTAGCAGAATTCATAGATACACCAGTAAACAAGCGAAAAATTACGGATCTTAGTTGGTCCCAGTTTTTCCTACTCCGCATCGCACAAATTCGTCCAATTGGCCACCAAAATTGTTGGACAATTCCGTACAGAAAGCGCTTACTACTTTCGGAGCACGATTCTATTTGTAATGTATATAAACGACCTTACGCACAGTCAGTTATGAAGCAGCGCGAATGCTCTGTAAGAATGAATAAAAAAAACGAGAAAATAAAAAAGTATCAACGGAACTTCCGAAAAGTTGATACAGTAAAAAAATTCTCTCATAATGTTTTCCCAGTGATATCAACAACGTAATCATTTAGAACATGAGATACAGATAAATCCCTCATAGTAAGTTCTCAACGGTAACAACAACGTAATCAGTTACTAAAGGAATTACACCCGGGCGACTGTTATTCCAAGGAAAGGAGATCACAAAAAGAGAGCTGTATTGCGACCGTCGTTCATTTCCTTCAATTCATCGAGTTTTGCTTCCAGTTCTCCTGAATGAAAGAAGTTAGCAAGTATTTTCAGACAATGTCTCATAACAATACCTGATTTACTGTCGATATACAGAAGAGTTTCCATTTGATTCTTCAAAATTTGAGCAACTTGGTCTTCAGTGGCTTTATTCACATTCGACATTGAAGTTTTCGATTTGTGAAGAGCAGACACCTTAAATACTTTTTCAACGAAAGTTTGTGATAGTGGGTACTCCGAGATCCAAGAAGACCGATTTTTCGAAAAATGCTGCTTTAGTTAAAAAAATCGCAACTCCAAGTCGATTCAGACATGCAGCAAATTTTGAAACCTGTTCTTCGACGAAGTCAGCGCCTCAGGATTGCACAAACCCCAAACCCAAAGAGTGATCACGGGCATAAGTAAAAAGACATTTTTAAGAGGGATTAAAATACCTGGTCGATAATCTCCTGGAGATCACAGTCTGCTTCTTTGATTTGCGAGTCGACGCTAATCAGCATTTGCATGCTGTAATGGATTTTCTTTGACCGCTATAAATATGGGAGCTTCTTTATAGAGAGCAAAGTCGAACACTTACAGTTGTTGTCTCTTAGTATCACTCGGAGTAGCTGAAAAAGCGTCTACAGGAAGATCGTGATTCTGATCAGTCCAATCGGGTAGCCCAAGGGCCTTCTCTAATTCGGAAACGGCAGAGTCCAATGCTACAGAAGATGCATTTCCGCTGCAGTCAGGGAAGTTGTAAGATCAAAAAAGGTTCTCACCCTTCTGATTTTCTGTGATGCAACCCATATTGTATATCATTTTGCTCTGCTTTTCTTCTAAAGCTACCAACTTCGAATCGACGTCAGAGATCTGCAACATGACTGTCCACCCAATTCAAATATTCGCGAAATTCACAATTATACCCCCACAAACAACGCTGGAGAGTGATTGAAGCTCAACATATTAAAAAAAACATTCTGCAGTTCGAATATTCTTCGATTTTATATGGTTTGTACATGATTTTTTCAGGGCGACCATAGCTGAATATCAACACTTCCCTTCAAAAATACCTCTCGTCTTTTTTGACAAAGTCAGAATAGCAGCGTCTAACACTCCCCTCTCCTTTCTTTCGAAAAGTTAACTATGGCTGATCAGAATGGGCTACCCGGTGCTTAACGTGAATTGAATTAATCAAAACGGCCGGAATGTACTTCAAGCCACCCGAAGTGATTACGCCCCAGATGCGGCCTGAGCTCTTCGATAAATGTGCGGAAGTTTTGTCTCATGAAAAAAATCGCCATAGTGATTTCAGCGAAATTTAAGTGTAAAAACTTTAAGTCACGAACCCTTTGCATATTTTCCCACAGCTGACGGTCGTAGGCATTCAGCTCTAACAAGCAATGCAAAAAAGCTCGTTCATCAGCAGCAAGATCCAATGTCATTTTTTGAGTTATCTGAAAGAAAAGGAGGGTACAACCGTTTTGTTAGCATTTGAGATGTGAGCGGCAATTAGAGTTCCACGAATTTGACAGAGTAATGCTTGGCATTATACGGCAATGATTTCAACAACACATCTTTTGTAAACAAGCCCCCCAAAGCTGCCTCGTCAAGAAAGGTTTCAAGTAGAACCCCTGGCTACAGCTAGACTATTTGGAGCAGCCTCAGCCTTATCGAGGACATATATGCCGAGATGTCCTTGGACAGGGTTAAAGAATAGAGGACGCGAATGCATGCAAGAATATAAAACGTCTCCAAACGCATCTAACAACTATTAGTTTGTTTAATAAATGCGGTCTTCGAATGATGGTGAGGTTACAACACAATAACACCCCTTCCAATAACAACTTACCGCGGACAAGTCAGCAAAACTGATTTCTGTGTCAGCAGTCATGCCAGCGAGAAGTTGGGAGCAAGCTGATCCAACAGATCCCTCCTTCTCCAATAATTGTTTCAAAGACGAACCAGCTGCCGAATCTGCGCTACCTGTATCTGCCGCTGTTCTGAAAAATCGACACTAAAAAAGACAAATTCAGTACAATTTAAAAGGTAGAACTTACGTCGTCGGGGTTTCTGCTGGTTTGGGAGCAGATTGTAGAGAAGTCGAGAAAGAGGTCGCTGAAACAGCGAAAACTTATATTTAGTTGCAACGTGCTTGATTCTCTACTTGAAACTGAAGAACCATAATCATTGAAATCAGGAAGGTACTAGAATAAAACCAAACGAAAATACCAACCACCGAAGGTTAGTGGAGCCTGGGTTGTCGTCGACGAAGCAGCTGGAGTAGCGGTCGAAAAAACTAAAACTCAAACACTCTTGCAGCTATTTAATGAAGCTTGCAAAGTTGGAAAGCAGTTGAAAAGGCCACCGGGTTTTGAAATATAGCAATTACCTTTACCTCCCTATTGTGAGTAAGCCTATATTAAACTTGTGAAATTGCGCTAAAATGCAAAAGTCTATCACCCTGTTTCGTTTGCATTCTTCTAACAACTAGCTACTTGGTAAAGGAACCATATTCGAGTACAGATCAAGTAGAAAGCATGTATAAAGTAAGACCAAAACTTACGAGACGGTGCTGCTGTCCCGGTGGATGAAGACGTTGAAATTGAGCCAGTGCCAAACATACTGAAGGCAGTACATAGAAAATACTGTTCAAAATATAAGAAGCATTGGATGAAACCACTTTAAGAAATCAAGCCCAACAGATAATGAGCTACCTTCTTTCTTAAAAGATACTAGTAAAACACCACGCAAAACAAAAAAAAACACAAAAAACATTGATGGGTACATAGCATAGAAGGCAACAGATAGTAGACAAAAAAAAGCATTTGGAATAGAAGGGAATTGGGATGCTTTTTGAAGGCCTACGGACTACTTGAACTCGGTTCCTTTAAATTTGCCGGATGCGTCATTTTTCTGCCCTTGTCTGGCGCACTCCCGTTTGATGTGGTCTTTGCGTGTTGTGCTCGCCTGTCCAATGGGGCCCCCACCACCACCGCCGTAGGCTTCACCCGGGGTGTTTTTCTCTGGGNTCTAGCCTCTTGCCGTCAGAGATGCAGAGAAAGTTCAAGTAGTCACGTAACCCTTTTTGAAAGTTTGGAAACCCCTTAACCAATCAAACTCGTCCGCAACTCATAGCCCTTGCCACGCCTCCACGTGCTCATTCGTCGCGTTTACTAACTGGTAAAGTGAGGGCGAAGAGACATACACCCTGAAGGAAGCAAGGAAAACTTGGTAATAATTCATTTAACGATTTTTCAGCGAGGTTTCACGGTTGCAATGAAGGTCAGGGTTGGTGTCGCGCGGTAGTAGTTCTTACCATTGGAGAGATTTCATACCGTGGAAGTGAGATGCAGTAATTCCCCTAGTTAACCTAATAATATCCTACGAGTACTTACTTCACCTCTCGACACAAAACTGTAGTTGTACGAGTTCCAATGCGGCGACTTTTCTCTACGAGACCAACCTTCATGCAGATGTCCTTTAAAGCCCACCACCCTTTTGAATACCTTCACAGTTTCGAAAGGAAGCTTCAGCCCGGCATATTCTTCCAGCCCGTTCATGGGAACGTGGAGAGGCTTTCGGGCAAGAAAAGTTTCCCTTTAGGAGGGTTTCCCAATAGTTACCGTGTTCCGACTTTTCAAGGACATTTTCGAATAATCTGGGAGCTGCTTCCACTGATGGCCGTACTTGCAAATGCCCTCACTTCTGGAAGGTGCTGTCCACAAGGGATTCTCCTACCTGGCATTGCTCCAAGGGACCCGAAAGGCCGGGCGTTTAACGCGCTCCAGTCAATCGGCACGACTTTTTTTCCGACGCCGTCAAATTATGCATTCATCGTCATCCTAGCAAAATTCATGGCTTCAGGAGTTGGGTCCTCGTTTCCATCCTAACGAAAGGACCCTTTCCCCAACGAACCTATCAGTTGTAATGCTGATTTTGCTCGATTCATCCTATAGCTTTGTTGTTTCTCTAAAACAGGTCATATCAGGACTATTGGATTCTGTTGTTAATCTTATGCCACGTTTCCTAACACAAATCTTATGCCACGTTTCCTAACACTTTTATGTCTCAATATTGAAGAAAAAATTGTTCTAGTCACTTAAGAGATTAGTTGTTTTACATATTGTTCCGTATCAAAAGTTGATTTCAAGTTCTTTCCTCTCCGTGCTATCGTTTGTAAGTTTATTCTGTTGTCAACCGCTTGGCTATCGAGACTAGATCACCATTTAGTAGATATTCCCTCTCGATCTCCTCTTCAATGCTATTTCTAGTCTAGGTGAAAATGACTAAGCCAACGGATCCTATCAAAATCAACAAATGGGATGGGCCAACTGTAAAAAACACATTGGACGACGCTGTAAAACAGGTAATTGTCACAACATAAATCAGCCATAAAAATGCTGTAATTTATTTTTTTTAGATACTGAATGATAGGGTCGGTTGGAAAGAATATCATTCGCTAATGGACGGCAGGCTACTGATTTCGTTTATTGCCGTTTGTTTTTCTGCAACTGCTATTGTTTACGATTATATTCACCCATTTCCTAAATCCAAAATCGTTCTTGCCGTCTGTTCGGTGACATATTTCATTCTTATGGGTGTACTGCAATTGTATCAATGGTACGTTGAGAAGCGTACATTTTATCAAGCTGAAGAATCAGACGGCAAACAGAAACGAATATGGAAATGGAGCTCTGAATTGAAAGCGTGAGTCATTCCCAAATACATTAAAAGGCTTTTATTCTCGCTAGCTCGTGACTAACCCAACTCATTTTAAATTCCACGGGAAGCCGTGCCAGAGCATGCCTTAGGGGTGTTAGGAAGCCCTAAAAATTGATTTTTCCTCTTGTTATACTTTCCTTCCCCTTCGGGTTCGCAGAGGAATTTAGAGTTCCTTTGAGCCTTTAATAATAACCTAACTTTGTAGCTGTGGGGCGCAAGATTCGTAATTTCAGTACAATTGTTCAGTCCTGTGCTGTGTGTTCAGTGTTCATTGCTCAATAACGGCCCAATTGTGGGGGAACAATTTTTCCTTCAACTGCAGGAGATTGCGAAATGAATGTGGGGGCTAAATCTATAGAATATAACAAAAAGAACGTTAATTTGCATTCCACTGTGTAGTTATTCAGTCGTTTTCTCGGTTCTCCTTCAACTTTAGCATTTGTTTGCAGTTACGACGACAAATACACGCTTTCGGCAGAATTCTGCAAAGAATCACGATCTGGTCAGGGGAAAATCACAAAATCAGTTGGTGCCTACATTAATGAAAATGGAGTGGTATGCAGTTCTGTTGTCTGATTCGAGTTCTATTGTTTATCCTAACATTGAAGGTCCTTGTTCCTTTGCTGAAGAAAGAAGTCGATCAACTGTATGAAAACCTACTCAAGGGCGAGAACTGAACCATTCGTTTTCTTTTCTGGATAATTTGGTCATGTTTAATTGTTATTTGCGGTTGTCCTTCTCGTATGAATGTTGTGTCCTTGCTGCTTTTCGGGAACTTCTTGATTAGGGACAGTTCTTTGTAGTCAGTTCAGCATATCAAATTGTTTTTTATGAAGTCTTTTGTGGTTGCGTAATATTTGTTAATGAAGAGTGCTAATTTAATTGTTTGAGAAAAGGTATATTGGGTTACATATAAATCTGAGGCTTTCCGTATCAGATAAATATGTGAATAATCCATAATGCAATATCTCTCACCATTGAAAGACATGCAGAATTCAGCAACTTATCGCAAAAAAACTGCAAGCGATTTGTGTTACGCGCACGGGACAACTGCAAGAAAAAGTAAAGGAAACAATGTCGAAGGAAGGAACGTTGTGGAAAGGGAAGGCATGAGGAAAGGAGGCATGGGAAGTGTGAGCTGTGGACAATGCAGAATATAAGGGCAGGAGACATATTGAAGCGAGGGTGTGATGTAAAGGTGAGCCTGGCTGAGAAAAGGGAAAGGGTATGTGAAGAAGAAAAAGGGGAGTCGGATAGTGTACCATTAAGAACGATAATGATACGACTGCCCCGATGTGAGCCATGAGAGGAGCTGTGCACGACCAAGTCAAAAGAGCGGTTTTCAATTTCGGGAAGAAGATGTATGTAAATGTAAAAAAAGGGCGTAAAGAGGGCCGTAAAGGCGTAAAGGGCCTATGTAAAAAAGGGCGTGAGTTATGTTTCTAACACAATGAGTCGAGCCCTACACCCCTTCATTTTTTACATTCTATCAAAAAATGATCAGAAATAATTGCCTATGGGTTATCACTGAACTGATACCCTCCAGGTATTTAATCCAGATCAACCATCACCTTCAATGTTAGATATGGGCAACCTCTTTAGCCGTGATGACGATCTACCTCCAAAGCTCCATGGTGGTAAAGAAGGGTAAGCTTGTTTTGTAAAATCGGTATTACTCTTTCACTACTAGTAACATTCAGAACGTTTGTATTCTATACGATAGCTGAACGCTGGCCAAAAACCATCGCGAAAATAGTGGATCACTTCCATCGTAAACGGCGGGATTTCATCGATCAGTATGGAGAGGTAGGAGACTGTTGTTCATATGTTCATCATTACCTCACAGCCAGTGGTAAGAGAACTCGAAAAAAAAAACAACAAAAAAGCATAAAAAGAAATTTCAGTTGTACCTTATTCCCTTTTCGTTTCACTCATTTATTGAGAAGTCGGCAAAGTACCGTAATTCTTGACTTGGGCTTCTTTTCGGTCTCAATCCGGTTTCCACAACGTAAATCTTGCGCATCGGACCAGCACATCGGGCCCCGTAGGCGACTTATGGGTATCGACTATAGACTCATAACATAAGCCCTTACCTGACACCCCATTCACTTTCATGCGGGCGTTTAATTAGCTAGTAGATTAGGCGTAGTAGTAGGCAAAACATCATGGAGCCCATGCTGACCTAGTGTCACACATGTTTCTTCCACAGTTCTCATCGTCAAATCAATGTGTATTGGATGTTGAAGTTACCGACAAGGTTGTGTTGATGAACCGAAATGCATTTAGGAAGCGGACTTAGACGTAAAGGCAGTCATAGCTGAGCTTTCGGAACTTCGTTATCGCATCGCAACCGATAAACCACTTGAAAATATCGATGATACGTCTTATAGCTATGAGATGTGGAATAACCTGTTGGCTCAAATGCGGGCTGAGGTCAGAATTCTCGATTACTTTTCTGATTCATCGCTCACCTAAAGTACTGCAGAATGGTGAAGACGACGTGACATGGTTCAAATGTGATTGGTTGTTCGGGGAATGTTATATGTATAGAAGAATAGTTGGTTGTACGGCGAAAACCAAATATCTGAAAAGTTTCGACTTTTTTATGGAACAAAAAGTTGATGGATTCAACAGCCAGTAAGGCCTATTTATAGTAGGCGTTACTGCATTTATACTTTGAACTTTACAATTTAGCGTTGAACAAATTCGAGATGGTATTAAGTACATATTTGCGGTCGCTGATAACTTATCAATTCAGCAAGAACGGGAAACTTTGGAGGTTTTGTTGAAAGTAAGCTATATTCACTCTCCCTTCTCGGCTTCGAGCTTAATTTTTTCATGTTCGTAGATGGAATTTGTTTGAAAAAACGGATTTCTCTAGATGTGCTTATGGGGAAATCGATGTGATTTGTCATTATCTTGTGGTGATGCGACACAACTGGTAAGTCCTTTTTCTAGGTGATTTTCTAATGTATGGGTGATTTCAGAGTCCAATGACTCGTAGACCGGCCGAACGACCGACGACGTTGCTGGCCACGTGTTGACAATGGAGGACAGATTGCGCTCGATACCGCTACCGCTCACGCAGCCCTAAACGCGATCTGTCCTGCGATGTCCGACCCTGGCCAGCAACGCCGTCGGTCAGTCGGCACGTCGTTGCACTCTGGAAGCACCTTATGACATTTACATACCTTCCTTTAGTTTCACAATGGTTGTAGGCACTTGTTTCAGACACAGTCACCAATTGACAGTGCTCGACAGTTGGATTCCTACATACTATGCAATGACCTTGGAACAGCTATTGAAATGTTCCTCTTGAAACTCAAGTAAAGAGATTAGACGCTAAGTTTCTACCTGTTTGGTGTCTCCATTTAGAAGGCTGTACTTGAACTTTGTTCTCCTGTCCAGACTTCCTTCAAATCCCACTAGTCTTCTGAATGGTTAGCAGTCGAGCATTTCCAGGCCAAATAAAAAAGGGCTAAAGGAGTTCCATATCGTACTCGATAATGCTGGCCCCGAACTTATGGGTGATCTCATTTTTGCCGAATATCTCATGCAAGTAAAATTGGTCGATAAAACAGTATTACATGGCAAGGTAAGAAGAGAAGGAAACTTTCACTGAGTGAATTTGATTGCGTACCAGAGTGTATTTCTAGGAATATCCTTACTTCGTCTCCGACGTAACAGGGGCCGATTTCGAATGGACACTGGCCGAGTTGAAAAAGCGTGGTGACGTGTTTGGGACTATGTATTCAAAGTTGTCTACAAGAGTAAAAAAGGCATGTTGAAGATGGAATATCTTCTTTGTAATGTTTGAAAACAAAGCTACAATTTAGGGTCAACTAGTATTTGAGGACCATCGATTTTGGACATATCCTCATCCGTATTGCCAGATGAAAGCCGTGGCTCCCGAGCTGTATGCACACTTAAGAGATGCATCTTTGATCATGTTCAAAGGGGATCTGAATTATCGGAAATTGGTGGGCGACAGAGACTGGCCCTATGGTACACCTTTTAAGGTAATTTCATTTACTGTTGCAAAGAAACCATATGATGTGAACCCCTTTCCTGATGAAAGGACGCTTGGGCCAGAGTTTGCAGGTCCGGTAAACGACCCTCCTCTTAAACTCTCTTGAAAGAAGGGAACGCTCACAGATATTTTTCCGTGCGTAGAAGAGTATGCCTGTGGGTCAGGGCGCGTATTTGCCTCAATCGACAAATAAGGAAATTGAGCGACAAGTGCCATGATCAGCCCGCACTCACAACTTATCCTGCCACTATCTCTAGGGCAGTTTTCTCCGATTTAGCAACGTCCGCTTTGGCCTGTCAGTACATACCCGCCGGGATTCGACCTTGGTGGGTGCGAACGTCACAGAGCACGAATCCGTTCTAGAGGATGGCATGCGGCCGCTGAAGACTGCTCCTGCAAGCTACACCCATGCTCCTAAGATGGCTCTCCTTCTCCTAACAATGAAAGTTTAAAGGCAAAAGATTTTCAACGTCGATAGATCCCATTTTTGGGATCGTCGTCTCAGAAGGGATTGATATTACTTTATGGACCCTAGGAAGAAGGGGACTCGATGAGCCTGGAAGCGCTGTGGCCTCCAATTTGGCCAAATTTACCAAACATAATAACACCTCCGGACACCATCCTACCCTCCACCCTTACCTGACCAAGATCTCACCAACATGAAGTCCTATTAAGAGTAGAATTCTATTCAGACAGCGCTATGTGGTTTCTTGCCTGCACCGATACTCGCACTACGAACTTTGAAATCGGAAACGGTTGCTGGTCTACCCGACGACGTGGCCGAGCGTATGGAAGATGAACCTGATCAAAAGTGGATGGTTACTGGCGAATATGGAATAGCAGAGCTTGCTTATTGAAGTGATGTAATATGTAACTGATTTTGTTTTCCTTCTCAAAAATATTTGTCGATAATTGTAAGCGATCACTATATAACACCTTATTAATTTAATATTAGTCCTTAGATAGATAGTTTTTCATTGTAAAGAGCTTTCCATGACTATCCGATATTACCTTTTGATATACAGGTAGCCATGATGGCTTTGATTTTTCGACATTTTTAGTTACCGTAGAAAAATAGGCCTCTTAGGAGAACTTTGCAGCCATTTCTCTCTTCCTTTGTGTCGTTCACTGTCTAATTTATTATAAACGAGTGAAAATAGACGAGTTCTGTTACGAATTGGTTCGCGCCCGAAATTCATGCACCTTCCGCGCGCGCTTGCGAAACAACTCGATTTCTTGGTGGCTGCACTCTCAATTGCAACGTATTGCGAACGCGATTCATTTGTGATGGTGCAGGATCCTTACGAATATCTTTTCGCTGAACCTTTTTAATCAGCTTTGAATATCTANTTTTCGATTGCATCTTGATTCTAATAAGAAAAATAAAAAGTCTAGTAGTACGGTGCAATTACACAATATAGCAAAAACGAGACAGATATTCAGTTCTGGCTTCTTACAGTAACAACTAGATGGAAGGATTCAAAATAAAACACAAGACTCCCTAGGGAAACCCAGAGCACTTCCCTGCTTATATGTAGAGTCTTGGTCGCAGGAATACTCAATTCTGACGTATGGCAACAGTCTTCTAATTGGGCACGGTCCACGCTCTCCAACTCGTCGCAGGCACAGACGTATACTCAGACACGGACATGCAATACATACAGACAGAAAAGACACAGACACATGCACACAAACATAGACATGAACACAGATACAGAGGAAAACATGCAGACTCACTCACAAAACATAAACATGTACACATGCAAAGACACTGTATAGATACAGACATAGACACACACATAGACGTGGACACAGACACACACATACTTACATACACAAACACACACACAAAAACACACACACAACACACACACACACACACACACACACACACAAAACGAGGCAGACACGGGCAATAACAGAAACGCGTACGCACATATACACATAGGCACAGGCGTACACAGACACACAGATACACCGATATTCAGCGAATTATATGAAATGAATATATTGACAAACATAGTTCAATTATAGTGTTCAGTTCGATGGGTACAATGAGTAGAATCGCTTGTTTTGCAAGTGTAACTTGCCGTCTCTCCCTTTACAGCTTTCTGTAAAACTGAGTATATCTTCAGTGAGGTGAACTAAAAATTGGAACGTACACAAGTTGCATATGGTAGATATGCTTTATTGGCCGTCATTTCGGCACTATCGGCTTCTCCTGAGCAAGGAATGATCAAAGAGCAGGCAGGTTTCGAAAGTGTTACATATGATCTCAAGCACTTGGGAAGGGGATCAGTTAAAGGAAATCCCCATGCATTTATCTTTAAGGCCTACCGAACAAGGTCCCTGTCTCTATTCGATTACAACATTATCGAACTCGATAAGGCTCAGTCACTAGCTAGTTTGATCGGTTTTCGAGGGTCACGAGGAATTCTTATTGTTAGACCATTCAAGCTTGAGGAATAAATTATTCGAGGCGGGTTTCATTCCAGAATCCAGCGCATAGCAGCATCGTCACGTTGATATCACGTTTTCTACTTAGAAATTTACTTTTACTATAATTACTGAAGGTCATTGGAGGGCCAGTCAAAGGGTTGATTTGCCAGTGGTTCGCTCCCTTCCCTTTCCGCAATGGGTTCTCGGTGATTCCATAGTGCGAATTTCGAGTGAAATCGTGGAGTGTAACATTTTCAGTCGAGTCATTGCACTCGTTCGTAATAAGGAATCGTCGGTTCACTTCTGTTCCTTCCCCTCCTCCTCCTTCCTCAGCATCGGCCACAAAGTGCCAGCCGTTTCATTACAACACCCTCTATGGAGTTCAGATCTGGCACATGTCTCTATAAACTGAAAGCTGCTAGCAAATCCACAGAAACAGAAAGGAGAACCTTTCCAATTATGTGGGAGTTAGGTAATGATTAATAAATAACTTGTTCGGATCCCTGGACTTTTATGACTACGCCTTCATGGTCGCTCTGAGAGGGGTTTGAGCCATGAACTATACATATGGTAGGGGAACCGCATGGCATTACATCTTTATACTTCTTAAGAAAATTTAGAGTAATGAGACCAATCTCTCTTTGACCTAACGTAAGAAGACTTTTGGGTTTTGCCTCCTGGTGTAGAAGTGCATACAAAAATCCAGGCAAAATTCAAAAGTCCATTTATTTCAGGTTCATGAGAAGTTAAGCTTATTACTAAGAGTTTTTTCAGTGATATGGAGTGGGGATGATGTAATGCCACGTGGCTTGCTACCACATGTATAGTTCATGGCTCAACCTCCCCTCAGGACGCCCTTGTGCAGACTTATCTGCCCTTCATCCTTGCGGAGTGAGTCGGAGTCAGCATCAATGAAGAGGATAGGAGTACTAGTTCCTACGTTTGCCGGCATCCACAAGTGATTGCAAACATTCACAACCGCTACGGATCTGCTTGTTGAAGTCAAATTTGCTCATAAGAATAATTGGAATTAATATCAAGCGTATCGAGAGTACTTGGATTCGGAAGGCTTGCTATCCAACTATTAAATTAGGTCAGGAGTTGGGCCGTCGTTGTAAAGAATTTGGTAAATTTAGACGAATCTCACTCAGTGATATGCTCGACCTTGCCTAGAGAGTTGTACGCTATGCTAATCACATTCAAGTCCTCAAAGAATCCGACGTCAAGTCGCGTGCGTGGCGCACACCAAAGCTGGGCCTACACCAAGAGCTTTGCTCTCTCATGTCTCGACATTCAAGCCTTTAATGGGGAGAAACCTCACGCTGACAAGCGACCATTACGAAGGAGACCCTTTCCAAGTTTTCATTTTCCTTCTCGTATGGCACGATATGGCACAGGTTATAGTGCCGCTGACCCCCCCCCCACACTGGTGCTTTGGTCAGCCGTCGAGTTTAGCCATTTCAAGAGGAGTGACGTGGGAGCCAGCACAAAGTTGAAGCAACCGCCGCCGCCTCCGCCCCAGTCGCATCTTGCTTTAGACGCGCAAGGCCAGCTGCCGCTTTACAACACCACATATGGTACACTGGCACATTTTTACGACTTAATGAAAGCGTCTCTCACAACACCAGTCAACGGTTTAGGAATAATCCAGATAGATATACGATAGCATTGTTCTGCTATTCAAAAATCTATTATGCTAGAGAACCACTGCAAAGACATCTGGTCTGGTTCTGTTGTCAAAATTTCCAGACATAGAACATTGAAGAGGTCGGGCTGGTAACTTCGAACTCACGACAAAGTTACTGAAGATCATTTCCTCGCTTAGTTGAGGAGGGCGAACAAAAGAGCCATACTAATCCACCAATCATTCTGAAATTTGGATTGCTGAGTTCGAGCTCTCAAAACCGATTTTTGCCTATTTCAGTATGAGTCTTCTATTCAACTACTTATCGTCTTTGTTATTGCTTTTAAGTTGTAATTATTATTTTAATCAGTTCTGACCTCTTTTTTTTCCCAGTATTTTTTATTCATCACCATCACCTTCGGAAACTTCGAGAATCGGAATTGAACCTCAGCAGGAGTTAATCTTTTACTAAAGTTAACTCTTGCTAAGGTTCATCGATGATAGTCAATCCCATTTTCGAGTTGTATTCGACTCCCATTCAGAATCAGTGCGCTTTGAATGCGTAATTTACCGTGGACAGCCTATGTAAAAGTCAGGGCTTTCATTCTCCAAAACGGGCATTGCACCAATGAACCGATCTTTAGGTCAGTCTAAGCACAAAGCGCCACTTGTCACTGCATTACCTTCTCGTGCTACCCAACTCAATTTGTTGATATGAGTTTTTTAATTTTCGGAAAAAAACGGTGTTGATAGCGTGTGAACGATTGTCGGCTTCTTGTCAAGCTCAGATTCAGGCATGAATAAGGAGCTAGTAATCGAAAAATCAAATTTCCTTCATCTAGCCTCCTAACATGAACACCCGGCTCGTTTACTTATAACTTAGACAACCAGAATTTTGTAGAGTGAATCAAGTTGGGATTTTCCCCTCTGAGGCCTTCCATGATGCGCCTAACATTTGCCACACCGGAATGAGGACAGTACTTTTACACTTTCAGCAACTGGTCCCGGCCCTTCAAGGAGAGGATGGATGTTATCGAGCAAAACCCTCGAGACATTTAAGGCATATTCGAAAATTTTTAAATTCATCAGCTAATCAATGTCTTCAACTAATCACCAAAAAGCATCTCTCCAAAATATAGTGGACTTTCAAAACCTCTTACTTGCAATCCAAAGGATCAGTGATAAACAATGACCTATGTATGATTGGGGCAAAGGAGTTGTACGGATGGCGAAGGTAGCACTGTCAAAGTATTCAAAGATGCTGTTATATAACTCAAAGTGAGAGATGTCGAACTCCTTGACATCTGAACGTGACGAACAGGCAATTTGGGTCCTTGCTGATGAAATTTTTATGAAAAATTGTAAAAATACCAGAACACTTTCTTGTGATCTATCAGTCTTAAACTATTGAAACGCTGGAAACTTTTTCATTCTTTCCTACTTGAGCCCATTGAAGGCTTCCGTAAGCTGTAGGCAACAAAACGTTCTCCGTTCAACTGCATACCGTACTCCCGCTTTAGTCACAGTTTCAACAATGGTAACTAAGAACGCCGTTTAGGGCTTCCCATCGCTGCCATCAATTGATGAGCAGACAAAGACGGTCGGCGTTGCTGATCGAAATGGCCACCAACGGAGATTCATTGATAGAGAGGAACGCTGCCAGAGCTGCTTTTTGGCGTTGACTTTGTTCAAGGTGAGGTTTGTCCTCCTATAAATGTATGTCACTGACGCACCCCATATCAGAACCATGATAGTTCGCAAAAGCCTAGACTCGCCTCTCAAACCTCTCCTTCA